CATAATAAAAGCATTATAATAAGTTATAACAAACATAAATTCTCAAATATAGCAACAACAAAAATGGATTTCCTAATTTCTTTAAAAGCCTTTTGAAGCTTCTTGACATTTGAAACATGACTGAAAGTAGTGACTTTTAAAAGATTTTGATGAATTTTAAAATCTAGGTTTTACAAAACAGGAATATAATGTATGAATAAAATAATAAAGTTTTATAAAACGTGTTTTGTTGCCAGTTTTGGCCAGGGGACTTATGTAAATGAAACATTTATCTCAATAAGTGGCCTAGTTCCTCATTAGGATCCAACAATTTAAATCCAAGTAAATATTAATCCAATTTCATATGAGTTTATTTATTTAAATGTGTGCTTTCAGATAGACGAAGCAARTTTTAGAATGTTTAACTGAATGTCTGTCATCAACTAAAAATAGATACTGATGTGCCTGAGAAAAATAAAACTGTAAACCTTTATAAATAATAGTTTGTGATGTCATTAAAAAAATAAAAATAATGTTTATTTGAACAACTTTTGAAACTATGTTTACAGTGAAGGGTCCTGAATGTTTTTCCTCCTCCCACACCTCCCTCACCTCCTCAGCAGCAGTTTGGGGTGGTTTTTACTCTCCAGGTTTCTGTCAATCAAGTCGGACAGAAGTTGTTTCAGGACCCCCGTTGCGTACTCCATCTCCCCCTGCAGGGCTGTCATGATCAGAGATGCCACATTGCCTCGATCGCGCATTGAAAACGACCTGAGAATAGAAGAAACACACACACACACGCATATGTAAATATGCTTTCCTAAATTTGTACTGAGTCTCATCTGGAGCTTTTCTTCTATAATACATGTGCACCATTAACCTCACAGGGATTCTATTAAATTTTAATTCTCATTTAATCTTAATTAAACTGTGCACAAACTCTGTTTTGCTACAAACCATTTGGCTAATTGCTTTACAGTAGAATTTAAGATGCTAAAAAGTTAATGATGACATGTTTTATAAATTTATTTTCAAATTTATGGCCAATAACTGTCATTTATTTTTGTTATAGTGAACAGGACAAAAAACTCTGTCAATGACAAGACTTATTTGTATATAAAACATAAAAACGCTGTAATAATACCCAGTGTATACTGAGTTTTAAACATATTCTTGAATATTTACATATTAAAAACAAACAGCATTCATTTAGACAGGAACACAAAAATACAGCACTTAAATTAGGTTAAAAACATAAAGACCTCTGAGCCTCTAGTGTTCGTATGAATGTCAACAAGAAGTGCTTCTTGGTCAGCAGCTGGCCAAACAGCGTGAGTGCCTTCTCAACATTTGCTTGGACCTGAAGAAAAACATTGACAGATGGACAGTTACAGCGTCTAATGGCAGGACAGTAAAAATAAAACAACTTGTTTTTATTCTTTAACCAAGCTTTATTACCTTCTTCTGCTTTTTATGTTTCTTAAATATGTAAAAAAATGCTTATTGGTGCTATTCCTTCTTATTTTTTAGTTTAGAAGGTACAGCACGTCATTTTTCCAAGTTGCAACAGCAGAAACACAAATTGGAGTAACGGGTCTCTGCAGTAGGTTTTGTCCTGTGGGCGGAGACGGCCCTACACGTGATTGGTAGAGGTCTTGATGTGGGCGGAAATGGCCCAAGAGATGTAATTGGTCAGATTGACGGTGGGGTGTGAGCGAGGCTTGAGGCAGCGGGGAGTAGCTTGGTCAAGTCGGGTAGGAAGTATGTTTTTTTTTAAATTAATTTTAGTAATAACTTGAGAAAGGAAAGTGCTAGCTGTACGAAATTTGAACGTCATACATGTGAAAGGATGTGCAACAATATGGC